ATAATGGTTCATCTGCCAAATAGTCGACATTATCTTGAATTATATCAGATGTATAAAATATGTGAAATTGGAACTGATTACTTAATTTTATGTGCTGAGTGCTTGGGATCACACCGAAGAGTAATAACGAACGGGCGTTCGTGTGCGTGAAAAAAATATGAAAGTTCATTATGAGATAACGATCCTCTAATTTAAGACAAATATCATGTTGCATTTCTTTGTTTGAATCCTTGTTCGATCTCTCATAAGGTGAAAATCATAATTTTGGAACGAATACAGTACGGAGCCGTCATTTTTGGAGATTCGATAGAGAACATCATAATGACTATAACTAAGTAAGCAAGCATACAAGATTTATCAAAAGAAGTCAGACATAACGGTATGTTCTACTGAAATCAGAGGGCTAGTCACATGTTGGCTGCAACAGTCATTGGGATGGTTGTTTTCTGCAATATTTTTATTTCTATTCTAATATATGCGTCAATTTTCGCGGTTATTTTCAAATATCAGCGACAATTTCGAAAAGATATATCGCTCTTATTAACATGTAATACATGTTTAGCCGCTCTTTTCACTTGTCTTGCCGTTTGTATAATGACGAGCTCGAATCTATTTGGATCATTCTTGGTGCGTGATATCGAATTCTGCTACATATGGGGTCTTTTCTATGACATTTCCGAATGTTCAATATATTATTCATACTGTTTACAGGCATTCTATCGACTTTGTCGAGTCGTGTTCTATAAAAAGAAACTTCTTTTACTCTATACTTTGTACATCGTGTTAGTATTTGGTCAGTGGCTACTCACATTTTTCCTTTTATTACCAACAATCTTCATGAATTATTATGTTCAGCTGCCTGGTGAACAATATTGTCTTATTCCCTACACAGACATTCGCACCTCGTTTTATCTCATCGGAATACTCTATTTGATTCCATTAGTTTCCACTACCGTCATGTATTTTTGGATAACGAGATATGTGCATAGTTCGTCAACAACCACACGACGACGACAGAACCTGAGAGATGTGACTGTAATCAAACGTATCGTGATTCTAGTCTCAATATTAATTTTACTGCGATTTCCAACTCTTGTTTTTATTGTATATGGGTTAATAGTTGGTCATCTCTATTATTTAACCTATCCAATATGTGCAATAATAACATCGATGTGTTTGATATTCATCGGGCTCATAACTGTCTATATAACACCACAGCTCAAAGACTTAATCAAGAAAATATATCGAACTCAAAGTAATCATGTAACTCCACAAATACAGCCATCATCAAGAAGAGAAACAAACGCTCCTATCACGAGCTCAGCACGAGCTCAACACGAACTCAGCGACACATATAATATTTAATAACTCTTCTTCAGACGTCTGACACAGTTTCGTTTCAATTTAACTCCCGAACATAGACGATTTGACATATTAGAGAAGTGTACTCGAAAACAACGTTATGGTGTGTGACTACCTACGATCGTTGCAGGTGTTTAATCAGACGTCTGAGAGCGAACGTGATCAAACTCTTCGTAACTACTCTTTCATATTATGTTCTGAGAGACAACGGTCCTCTAATTCAAAAGAAATGGCGTGTTGCGTTTCTTTGTTAGATCTACATCTGGATTTAATATCAAACTTTTTCTTTGGACAAGGAAGTGTGCATATACCGAGCCTTGAGCCTAAAAACATCAGAGAATCACCTTGTATGAGAGTAAAATTTGCCGAATAAATTCGTCAATCGACGTATGAAAGAAAATGTTAGATATCTCTCGATAAAAGCATAGATATTGTGAACGCTTGTTTTATAATGTTCGGTGACAATAAAATATTTCTTTAAAGATCGCATCACCCGTTTTCTTTTATGCCACTATGTCTTTGTTCTTTCGGATATATGTATAGGTGAGCATACATTCATTCGTTGGTGTTGTTAGTTTGAGTGTACATAGGGTTTAAGTTAGTTGACATAACAATTGGTGGTCTGCTTATTTCATGTTGCTCCTGCTTATGTATTTTTATCGTTATTTTCCATTAAACTATAGAGTAAAATTGTATAACAGTCGGACGAAGAAAAAACTTAACAGAATACGCTAGTTCATATTTCTCAAAAACAAAACCACGAATTAAAAAAGTTTAAATAAATGAATAACTTAGACATTTAAAACCTCAGTTTGTTGCATTTCAATCTACTTTTTATCTATCAAACTTCAAATTGCCAATCTACAAATGAACCAATTTTGTAGAGTTAAAAATTTTCTAAGGTGCCGGCAACGCAAAATTGTTATCCTTAGACAGCATCAGTACTCTCTAAAAGCGAAGGATGCAGATTGAACCTTCATGGGTTCTCTCTTGTAGATGGAACCTTTTCATAGTTTGATCAAAGTGCGATATAACCTGCAAGGTTCCAACAAGGTGGTTGATCCATTTTGAGTGAAAATGGTTCGATATTTCAGAAAAGAGAGATCCATGGATGTAAAGTGGTTCAATGTCGAACCTTCTTGTTTTAACCGAACCATTACGTCCTTGTGTTTTTTTTGTCCAGACAGTACAAGCGAAAGCATTTAAACGAAGACGCAGATTCTACATAGAGATGATGTTAGTTTATGGCTGATTGTTATTTGATGTATCCATATACCAAAGGTTAGAAGACTGTCGATGTAGAGATTAGTACAGCAGATAGCACCGAACTATTAGCTCGCGGCGAGTTAAATATCAGGTTAAAAATTTAAAATCGTCTCGAGCTCAAGGTCTTGAATTTGTGATTTTCTTTCTGTTTCGGTCATGAGCCCAATTGGTTTTATGAAGAACACTACACTTCAAACGTATCTTATGTGATGTTTACAAAAAGAAAAGTTTGATGCCATAGTAAACTTCAGATAGTTCCACTGGATATTGTTCGCTTTGGCAGAGAAACTAGAGAAAAACGAAGAGAGTGAACTGATAATTGATGTGTTTATTATCCTGCCTATTATTGAGTTTCTTTCTGTGCTTTGTCTGTCAGTAACTGACTTAACTGCTTATATACGTTTGATGACAAAAAAACACTCCGTTCTTGGATGTGGTTGCCTTAGTGGTAGTTGTGTGGATTCTTGTCCACTAGTCTAATTTGTAGCATGAGTGTATGATTAGTTAGTGAGTAAGAGAGTACGGAGAAAATGAATCCTTCCCATCTTTCTTGTTAGAAAGTCGAAATATTTTATATCACATGTTCTTTTCTGTATCGTTCAGTAGTTAACGATTTCTAACATTTAGTCGGTGTCTTTATAATTTTTCCTATGTAGCATGTGCCTCCAATACACATACAGAATTTTGAGCTCTTTCAAGATTTGAGCATTTTACAAGTCGGAAAAATATTCGAAACCCACTTGCTTCAATTCGTTTTATTACTTATTTATATTTTTTACTGTTTGTATTGAAAGCACACGCTCATTTACACGAGATACGAAAGAAAATTGTGATATATCCCTGAATATATTTTTATACGACTCCATCGTGTATATATGATGGACACGTGTGACTGAATATTTTTATTACTCGAATGAGACATGCAAAGTAGAATCATCCCGAAAAAATCAACAATTTGCAGAATACTAAGCGCACAACAGTTTTAGCGAGTGAGAATATATGGAGAAATTAGCAATAGATTGAAAAGCGCGATTAAATTAATATTCTACTATCTGCGCGAAAACTCTGCAGAGAAAGAGCTGTCTTGACCCTGAAATTTGAACTGTTTGACATTTATCGAGCCAAGAAGTTCGTATGTTGTACAAGAAACAAGATTTCTTAAGACATGCTAAGAAACCTAAAAGAAAACTTGCTCTACAAATTGTGAGGATTTTCTATAAAATGCACAATGATTTAGCCCACATAATTAATACCTGAAGATTTTAGAAATGTAAAAATCAAGATTTTATCGTTTTTTCAGGAGTTTACAAAATCTTCGCTAATTTATAGAATCCACAGTTTTATATTTCGATTTTATAGAAATCATGTCACCGTTGACGATTCCATACCGAAGAAAAAATTTTCAGCTATATTGGCGACTTTAAAGTCGAAAACGAGAATCAATTCATAAAACCAATTTCGTTTTTTCTTCGTCAGTCTCGTTCATTCTGATGACGTCCCTTTTTGTATGGATAAAAATTACTGCGAAAAAATAACCAAAAACGATAAAAAATACTGGCATCTGTAGAAAACAAAGTACTACACGATAATAACATTAGAATTGTTCAAATCGAATTCTGAAAACTAAGGACTTGATATTTTGCTTTAAAATCGCTGAACATTTCATAAATTCTGTAAAATAATTAGCAATTTTGTAACCGATTGTCGATTTTAAATTATGAAATTAACCGAATTTGTCATTGCAGAGTACCCATGCGGAAAATTTTTGGTCTTTCAGGCGCTCACCACGCGTGCGATTTGATGTCCAGCCGCTTCCATGTGTGGAAAGCGCGGATTCCATGCGTTACCGTGCCTGAATCAGCCCCTCAATGCGTTTCAATGCATGGAAGTACTCTGTCAATGCATGGAAGTACTCTGTCAATGCATGGATGCACATGGGAATCCATGCGAGGGCACGCATGGATATCCTCATCGAATTCCAACGCGTGGGCTCCGATGCATATTTACGCTGGGTATTTAACTTCCAGGCGTTAACATGCACGGAAATTGAATATCACGAGTTACCATTCATGGGAGTCCACTTATTGGAATTCGATGAGCATATCCATGCATGTCCTCGCATGGATTCCCATGTGCATCCAATGAATTTTCCCATGGGCGGAAACGGTTGGGAAAAGATCCTCATGGCGCAGGTTTAATCTCTCACAAAGAATAAAGTAAACGTCGTCTTTCTTGTTTTGTAAGCCTTCTTGATTGTTAATTATTCTTTTAAGAGACAGTTCGCCAGTAGACGGAGTATCCTGCCAAAGATTGATCGCTTTATCATGTGTTTTTTTCAATATCAGTTGTAGGACCAAAATCATTTATTGTCAAAGGCACATGAATGATTGAATGAACATTTATAACATGATGACGTGTACCGTACAATGCGGAAAAATCTTTATCAAATTTCGATAATAATAACTTTACTTGTTCCACGCAGAAACATCTGTCGAGCTGCCCTGAGATCCATTGCGAACGCGCTTCAGCTTTAGTCAATCTTCCTAGCTTTCTCCTTTGTTAAAACGCAGGAAAACGCGGTTCTCCGTATCTGGCGTTCCCAGTATCGTATCTGAATGCGGTTTAGTTCTACAGTGAGCTGGAGCCATCATCTGAGCTTAATCGAAAACCGGAGTTTCGTATCTGGTTACTAACCCGCTCAACTTTCGAGATATTGGTAAGCGGCGAAAAAAGGAAAGTAAAAGGAAGAAAACTAAAACTAACTTAATACTTTTGTTTCATGCTTAAATAACTTAATTCCTATTAGTCGAATAGAACATTCGGATAAAATCAGGCATAAATATTTGTTACCTAAAAACTTCAAAATGGGGGGGAAAATGCGGTAATTGAGGAATAGAGATTAAACAGATTGCGGTGAAGGATGAGAGGTAACGTCATATGCGTTCTGAAGATTTACGGAGAATGTAAAGACATTAGAATCTAATGAATAATAGGTAAAACACATAAAAGTGCGTTTTTCCAGGGTTTTAACTAATTCAGCATGAATGCTTGGAGACTTGGGAGATTTTTCGCCACGTTCCTTTCTTTTATCTCAGTTTTCGTTTGCTGGGTCCACTTATACATTGTACTTAAAAACCAGTGCCAGTAAAAGTTTTACAAGATCATGAAATTATTTTCAATTAAGTTTCCTCCTGTTTTTTAGTATCCAACAAATGTGAACCCTTTTTCGTCCACCATCCTCAAATGCTTCCTGTATTAAACCAAAATGGAAGAAATAGGCTACAACAGTAGCAGGAACATCTCGCCAAGCTGGGAGCTCTAGTACTCAGTTAATTAACCCTTTAGGAATCTTTATTGACTCTCGAGATGATACTCTATATGTGGCAGATAGTGGCAATCACCGTATCCAAAAGTTCGTCCAAGGATCAAATGTTGGAATGACGGTAGCACGTGGAGGCGGTCAAGGAGATACTGGGCATCAGCTATATCGCCCGAGAGATTTCTTTGTTGATTCAGACGAAAATATGTTTATATCTGACTCGACTGGAATTCAGGTGTTTAAAGCCAACAGTAGTGAAGGTTATACAATCGTACATACTGAAGAACATTTTAAAGGAATTGCTGAAAGCAAAGTGAAACCAGGTGAATTTTATGCAGTTTCGTCGAGTGAAGGACTAATTAAATATTCATCAGCTGGACTCAAATTAAAAATAATTGGCCCTGATGTCAGAGCTGGCACCAGCATTTATGTAGATAAATGTGATAATATTTACCTTACTGATTATCACTGACGGGTGAGTTCACTTAGCGTAGTATTGCAAAATCTCCGACAGAAGTTTTATTGCCTTTTCATTGAACAAAGTAGAAAATGTTCTTTGCTGTTTGGAATAAACGCAGCAGCGTTGCTCCTGTCAGTATAGATATTTGCACAATAATTTCGACAAAATTTATTGTCCTCGACGCTAAAAGCAACGCTTACAAGATAAAGCACTGGGGGACCAAGAGCAGAAGTTATTCACAAAACACAGTTTTCCGTGCTGTGTAGCAAGTGCGCTAGCGCAATAGATAAGAAATGATGAGCAATGCCCATATGTAAGCAAAATCTTAAGTCTTGCACCAAGGAACAAAGGACTTTGCCACAACAGACTTACGGCGTTGCCCACTTTGCCAGACTGGGACGCAAAATATTTTCGGCTCAACTCGTCATTTTTTTTCGCTTGGAATATTTTGGAGAGAATTAGAAATTCTGAGTCGACAGAAAGATAGTTTTCCACGCTTTATAGAACTATCTAAAAACGTGCCATGGAAACATTGAAGGAAATGCTCAAATTTACAGTTGATTTTTGAACACTTTTTTCAAAGATTCGAGAGTTTCCAAACGGCGCTAATAATCCAGCAGGCCAACTTGTTATAAATAATCTTGCACGACCTATAGATTTCACATTAGATCCATTTGGTAACCTGTATATTGCTGAAGGCGGCAGATATTATGTATCACGATGGAGTGTCAAAGATCGAAGACTGAAGGTGATTGCCGGTGTTAATGATAAAGATGGAGATGATGCTGAGCATTTGTATTCCCCATTCAATATATTCCTCGAGTCCAAGCACAGTTTATACGTCTCGGATTACACCAATCATAGAATTCAAAAGTTCGAATTTGAAGGTGGTGACCTATGGTGTTAGAAGAAGCAGAGTACAATTGAAAACTTCTTTTCCTCTCAAAAACGCAAACTTTGATACTTTTTTTATTTCAACATTTTTGAAAAAAACATTTTTAAGAGGCATCCATAGAGAACGTTGCGTGCAAAGGTAGCTCCCTATCCCTTTACTTCTTCTTAAATCTACTTAACTTTTGTGAAACTAATTTTCTTTCCTTAACTACTTCCTGTTCCGATCTCAGCCGGTTGCTTCCACTTATCTGCCGGACGATCTTAATACACGGAAGCAAAGATTTTTTTACAATGAAAATTCATTGTATGCATGGCTGAGTGCATAGATGAAATTGCATGGATTCGAGAAATCCTTCTCTGTGACTACGCTGTTGATTTTACCCTTCACGTTAGCTTTAACGGAAGTTAACAACTAAGATTAAGAAAATAAATAAATTCCCGTTCACCGAATGCCAGCGTTTACATCCAAAGTGATAAATCCTCTGGAGTGAGTTTTTTGAATTTTGCTTAAAACATATAGTACACATTAGATATAATTTAAAAGCTAGCTCTGTAAGCTTTGAGTTCTGTTTACTAATCTTCCTACCGTTCCCACCAATCAACATCAGCATTTCCAGTTTTTGTTAAAATTTTAAATTTAGCATATGCTCTAGCACGAACTCTAATTGTTTAAAATTTAGAAGAGAGTAGGATTGTACAGTTCTAAAATCCAGTCTGGCACACTTGGAGAGGATGATGGTTGGAGTTATTGTTGTCGATATTTCTTGAGATGATCCATCTTCTGTTCGTATCCCGGCAGTAAGTGATCTAACAAGTGGTAGACAGGAAAAAAACTCGTATAAAATCAGAATATTCAATTGTGATCAAAGACACATATTCTAGCTTCGTCAAAGCCAGCACACAGGAAGTGGGAACGAACATAGTTTCCAACTCAGAGTAAATTTCAAGAGTTCTTGGAGTGCAGACATCAGATACGTCGAGGAAAAAAAAGTAATTTTTTTTATTATGCATCTCGGTTTCATGTATCTAACTGCTTCGTATGCCAGCGGAATTCTTGATGGCTAATCGCAAAAGACACTCGTAAAGGACACACTGAACTACCATCAAATATGAAATTTAGGAGACAATTAAGACCTTCCTTTGATGGACGGTGAAAAGTGTAGATCTCCAAAAACTTTAACTCAGAGAGCGAGCGAACTGGGGTTATAACGTTAGAACACTGCTCATCCAACTCCAAACTCTTGTCGAGCGACAAATGAAGTGATCGAAGGTGCATAAATTGATCAATTGGATAGATAGAAAAAAGTAACTTAGCAAAATTTGTATTAATCTTGATTGAAAATGATACTATCCTTTGAAGATTAATCATTGGTAAAATTTTGCAGACTAAATATTCGCATTTAGTTTTGTAATCTCTCGACCAATTTAAATGATAAGTTGAGTGACTTATGATAGAATCAATTTTGGAATTCAGTCCGCTGAATGTCTGCTGCAGTTGAGGACAACCAAAGTAGTCGAAGAGAGTGCGAAATAATTCAGCTGGAAAGATTTCCATGCTAGTAGGTCGAGTATCGGACATTTTCTAAAATATGAAACAGAGGGAGCGAAATAGGTTGACCTCGAAGAAAACCAGTGCTCGCTGCAACTGAACAGCAGAAAACGGAGAAAGGTAGAATTACCCATTAAGAATGTCCGTCGCAACGGAAGATTACTGAAAGCTCAAATCTTTTTTTATTTGAGCGCTTTTTATAAACGTCTTGTAACAGTCACCGGGATACTTTATAATAACTTCTAAGCAGCGCAGTACAATAAAGGGACAAAGTTTGAACGGCATCTTATTTGAAACAAATAAAAATGAAACGTGAAAAAAAAGTCTAACGAAACCAATAGAAAGAAAACAGAACAAGGACAAAGTGATGATGAAAAAAGTTTACATTTTTAACCTGTATGGGGGTAAATTCTTCTTTGAAGCCATTCAACATGTGGAATGGCGACTTCCTTACCTCATCATTTTCAAACGATATTCAGAATTTGGTGTACCTTTCTAGATTACTCTTTGCGTATTTGTATCAAAGGTAGCACCTCCACAGTTATTTCCTCCAACTTTGTTCTTTGTATTCTTTTTTGCTCCTCGTCTCGGTTGTTTAAACGTGGGAGTTGGATTGACTGTGCTGCCGCCGCTATTTGGAAGGGAGCCTTCATAAAAGATGCTTGACGATAATCAGGAACGATTTTTTTGAGAAATAATCACGGCTTTCCGCTGATGGCAACTCCACGCGTAGACATATANATTTGTATCAAAGGTAGCACCTCCACAGTTATTTCCTCCAACTTTGTTCTTTGTATTCTTTTTTGCTCCTCGTCTCGGTTGTTTAAACGTGGGAGTTGGATTGACTGTGCTGCCGCCGCTATTTGGAAGGGAGCCTTCATAAAAGATGCTTGACGATAATCAGGAACGATTTTTTTGAGAAATAATCACGGCTTTCCGCTGATGGCAACTCCACGCGTAGACATATATTAGATTTGCCTAGAAATAGGAGGAGGTCTCATGATTCATGAATTTTTTTTTGAACTTTTTAGGAGGACATTTAGAGAGTCGATTTGATAAATTCCCATATTTTTTGCAATTCTTGTGGCGAACGTCCATAGAAAACATTCTTTCACAAAATAATTTCATAATTAGCAGCTCTACATTGATAGGTACCTGAGTCGGCGAGACAAAGGAAAAGAGATAGATTGAGTACATAACTATAGCAAAATTCCACCGTTCGAGTTCGCATCGCCAACTGGAAACAAATTGTTTTGATGATGCCCTACTGAAAATCGGTGTGAAAACTATCTTCGCTAAATTATCTCCGCAAACTTCTAACTATATGCTTTCAGTGAGATTTTTGTGTAACGAAACCGAATCTATATATCACTGACGTAACGACCAGGGGTGCGATCAAATTCTATAAGAGCTGCATTTTACGGAGATGATACTTTAAAGTAAGCGTTTTGGCTAACGTGCTATCTCTTCTTTTCTCATGGTACTCTGCTTACATCGAAAGTTTCGTTAAAAAAACAACATTCAACGAGTGACTTACTTGCCAAATCGTCAAACTGCCAACTGTTAGCATCTGGACATTGTGATTTAAAGACTTCATCGTAACGTCTGTTATCTGTTGATCTTGGCCAACGTTCAACGTAACATTTTCCACCTTGTGTAAACTTATCATGTGGACCGATACAGTAACTTCGTTCACAGCTGCAGCAGACCAAGGATCGCGTATCTTCGTTGTTGTAAATATTTTGTAATTGCTGATGTGTAGCACGTTGACCAGCATTGTTAATAGCTGCACAGACTGAAGCACACACTTTCCCGCCGGCACCATCATTCATTTGCAATTCAGGTGGACAAAGATTTGCATTAAATGTACAAGTAGCTGTACCACGATTGTACTTACTCAGCTGAGGATTCTTAAGGTTGGAGCGGGTGTAACTTCTGAGTGAAGATTCCGATAATGGGATGCGGATCCAGATAAATATTGCGGAAGAAAACGTCTGAATTAGCCCTTTATTTTATATTCGAAATCTGCATGAAAAACTGTGGTGACAGAAAAAGTTTGAGCGAGTTATGACCAAAAAAAAACTAAATAGCTCGAGAAAACCCCGAGGACAAAAAACCAATGTCATACTTCGGGGTAGTATCGTGGTTTCCTGTAAACGACCGTTGTATTTTGACCCTAAGAACAAAAGCGATTTTAAAAGCAAACAAAAGCGACTAGAGAGCTTTAAAATAATAGAATTTTGTTTAGAAGCTTGCAGTAGCCTGTGCGATCATTTTTGGTGAACATTAATTACTACCTGCTCAAAACAACAAAAAAGAGATCCTCTGGCCTTAACACTTTGAAACTGTCCAGGAATCGGACACATAGTCATTGCAATACTGTGTCCATCAACATTACTCAGGTCATAGTAATCACTGCCACCCCAACCGTTCAATGTAAATTGAGCAATCGTTGCAGGTGGGTGACCTCCGATTCCTTACAAGGCATTTGAAAGTTATTTACACCAGCTCCACAATCGCCTTTGAAAGAAAAACAATATTGAATGATAAATATTTGAAAAAGAATATTCAAAGTGCTGTTTATAACATACCTGTAGCACATTTGAATTGTCCGTTAACATTACGACATCCCGTTCTCGGCCAAAATCGTCCGGCTTCCCAAGCATCTGGCACAAATACGTTACGACTGGATTTTGCAGCTAATTTAAATCCACCATTTTCAATTAAAGGTTTGCCCTGCACACCTATCCAGATAGTTTGAGTACATTGACTAACGAATCGAAAATTTCGTCCAGTTGCAATACCAACGTAGAGTAAGGTGAGAAGAAACAGAGTGTAAGACATTCTTCTGTTCTTCAATTTTGTAGCTGCTGCCCAGATAGAGAAAGACCGTTGAAGCGAAATTTCAGGCGTAATACAACAGAGCCTACACTACTTTTACTTATGCGGCTATTGGGCCACAAAATAGTTTTTCATTACTTTGTAAGTATTGTAATGAAATCGAACTGACGAGGAAAGGAATGACTTGAATATATTTAAACGAGAAGTTGCTGCTGCTGCAGAGAGATAGCTTTCCCAGTTGGATTAGGGTATGCTACAATTCTCTTTTTCTCTAACAATATGTCATTGGGGGAAATAGAGAAAGCGAAATGGGAAGATTCCCGCTACATCAGAAGAGTTTTTATATTTTTCCATTCTCTTGATAACTATCAGATATACAGTTGGTTCAAACGAATTTTCTTTCATCGCCTTTACGTAGGTTTTTTGGTTATACTGCGTTTTATAATTTTTTCAAGAGACTAATTTATTGTCCACGGCTGAGTGATTCGCAACGATTCTAGTTTTCGATGCTAATGTGATACTGAAAGAGAGAGAACAACAGTGAGAGAGTTTCCCAAAATAACATACAAAAAAGTAGAAATTCCTTGTTTATAATAAGACGAAGACAGCGGCAACTGATAGGTACCCGTAACATAGAGAAGAACAATAAAAAAATCTCTGAGTCAGCTATTCGTAATACATATTTTTTTGGGGGAATTATTTTCGCTCTATAGAGGAGGTATTGTTTGTTTTTTATATTCTCCCCGAAATTCACAATGTGGCAGCTGTTGATGGGCTTTTCCCAAGAATAAAAAGTTTCTCTTACAACTAACGTTGAGGTTTTTATAGACGGCACTTCATCTGGTGTGTTCTCAATGCAACCCATATATAAACTTTTTTAAATCCGTGAATTTAGAATCTAAACGAATTAACTCGAATCATTGCATATGTTAGAACATATTTCGGAGTAATGCTTTCACGAGATATCGAGCTGTAGCCAAAATATTTTTAGAAAATTTAGTTTTTCACGTTTTTCCAAGCCTTTCTTGACTTATCATCAAAATTTTTGTCTAATGAACTTTTCGATAGTAATTCTGACAGCTGAAGTTACGGTGAGTTTAAACCACTAATTGAAGGTTCGCAGTTACTTATTTCGCTTAGAAAATAGTCATAGAAGGAGACATTGCAGTTTGAGCAGGTTTCGATAGATGGTGTTTTTCTCCGTCAAGATTCAGTTTTTATTAGTTTTAAATCTCTTATTCTGTATCAACATCCAATTCTGCGTCGAATGATATCCTTTTGGATTTTTTTGAAAGCAAAAATTATTCACTAATCCCGGGGTGGCCCCTAGACAAAATCTTTTTGAAAAAAGTAAGAGTGAGTTTTTCGAAATACTAAATTGACAGACACTATATAGTTTTTTGTTCCAAAAATGAAGTGGGGAGGGCGAAAAGTGACCTTATCCGTCTTCCTCCTCTGTCTGCTACGCCCAGAGAGCAAAGTCGAGAGTGAAGTATTAGCCCTTACTTTGATTATGTTCTCTTCCTTCTTATGCTTATTACGGTCTAAACCTGAACGGGCGTGAACGACCGTGAATTGGAGTCAACTCGATTGGATAATACATAGCACCATCTCTTCTTATTTTAGCGGAAACTTTCGCATTCAAAAAACATGTGCACATTTTCCCCCTTCTGAAATGTATTTTTATTTTTCGTTTTGTCACTGCAAGAAAGTACTTCTTCGTGTATCACTTCCATTCAGAGTAATCAACTGTCATACCGTTCTGTAATGATATCGGAATGGATTTTTTTTTCTCTTTCCCTGCAGTTTTTTCCTTCATGTTTGTCTATTTCTTTCACAACCGAATATTCGTTTATATCTCAACAAGTGTATTATGATAATTTGAGAAAAAGTTACGTAGTGTGCAAAGAATTACAATAATAACAGAACACAAAGATAGGGTAGAAACAAGAAAATAAGAAAAAGATCTGACTAGTAAGTGAGCTTATTTCAGTTTTATAAAACTCCTCTGGTACTCTTCAAGTGGAGATTCCCGCTTCTTGATGCATTGCTTTATTTATTCAGAACTCGCCCCAGGTATCTTCATCTCGGCTCGCAGGAAACCTTTCTTTCTGAGTGACCTGTTTTGTTGAGGTAGAACTTGTGTGCCGAATTCAGTAAGCAGTTTATAGCCAACGCGTATTGTTAGATGACTCGCAAAAAATCGAATATTAATTTTATGCCGATGAATTGGTTAAAAAGGCTCGTTTTAAGTATTTTACGCAAAAAGCCGCCTTTTTGAGCTGTTCGGAGTGTTTTTCTAAGTTCACTCAAAATCATTGCACAACAATGCCAACAAAGCATCCTTGGACTCTGTGAATTGCATCAGGCAAAAATTGACGGAGTCAAAGTGAAAGCGAAAGAGAGTCTTATTTATTGCACGACTCTCGAACAACTCTGGTACATTAAAATAAAGCGCAGCTTTTTTTTAAACAGCATTTATGATGAGTAAACCATGTGCAAGTGACGAAGCTACCAGCGACGATCTGAGTTTCCGTTTTCGTGAAATACTAATCAAAATATTAGACCACTTAAGCCAGGCCGAATGTGAAAAATTATCTTTCTTATTGGGTGATGATGTTGAACGTCGTATACGAGATGATCGAACGACTGGTGGCACACTCAAAGTTTTTCAGCAGTTATTTGATAGAGGCAAAATATCGGAAGAAGATTTTACATATTTGATCAAGGCTTTTGATGCAATAAAATGTAGAAAGGCGGCAAAAAGTCTCCGAGGTTAGTACCGTGCTTTATCTAAGCTGTTTCGTTACGTAGGTTAAGAGCATTGTAAAAGAAAATAATGCTTCAACATTAGAGAGGTACAATCCTCATTATGTTAAGCGAAACAATCGTCAAATGCACCTAGCAAAAAAATGCAAACTACACTAGCAAAAACCTGACTTCACTCGATCCCTCATTTTCACTAACATATTTTTCGGGCATTTATAGGAAATAGCGCCTTACGTCTTCAAGTTCAGTTCTTGTTGAGCAGTCAGTCATACTACGGGTTTCTGTTTTCTAGCGTGCCACAGACAAAAATTGAATTTTTATTATTACTGAACATTTTTGTACAAACATCCTCGCCAAATCACTTCTCGAAAATTTTTTGAAGTCAATGAAGCCAGAAATGGGCCGAGTATCATATTGCATTATAAGCTTGAAAGAGCTCTTTTGGAAGATATGATGTTCTATACTCGCAGGAAATTCGAAAAAAAAATAGTGTAGCTTCACATTAAAGTTAATGTAGAAACTTGGGATTGTGTGGGCGCCTCAATCCGAGGTCTCTCTATTAAGAAAGCTTTTTGCAAAAAATCCAATCTAAATCGCGGCTTCATTTTTAGAGATCACATCTGTGAAAGCTTTTTTGAGATTACAACAATGATTCTCCAAAATTTGTACCACCTCACTCTTGCGCTACCTCATACAGGACCATACTGTATGCCGCTGCATGAGAAATACCGCAAGTGTCGAGAGCGTAAATGTCGTGGCACGGCAGGAACGTTTGGACCAGAGTGCTTAGCTATTATTAGAGAATTGTACCCCTAGCTTCTTTTGCGTCTGCTTCCACACTGATACCGGTATAAAAGGCAGAATGATAAGGTGTATCTCCACTAACTACAACAAAAACTGGATAAGATGATAAGAAATACTAGCATTTGCGTCCTTTTATTTTAGATCATCAGCGGCTGATAGTTGAACAACAATATTTTTCATCCCAGTCGGAAAATGCAACCATCAGTAGTTTGATTTCTACAAGTCCTACCGGTAACACAGCTGCTACCACGACGAGTAATGAAAAAACGGCATCGACCTTCAGTACCACACTACTAAAGAATCTAACGGGAGACTGGGAAGATGATAAATCAAATGTAAGAAATGCTTTCTCAGGTCAGTCAGCGTTTGTGAGTGTTTCAACTTGAATGTTCCTAATTTACAGCTCTCGGTACTTGCTGTTTTAGCTAACGCTGCTTCAGCTTCTTCTCGTCGAACAGCTAGTATCAACAATAATAAAAACACAAGAAAGATAGGTGCATTTGCTTATCCGTACAATTTTAGTCGATGTGCTTCGGATCTTTACCGTAGCAGAAAAAAATTAATTCTATGTGGCATTATCAGTTTAATTATTTTGGCTTTGCTGATACTAATCTTACTTTACTGTTGGCATAAATTGAAAAAACAAGATAGGACAGCCTTGATATTATCTATTCAATCAATGAACAGCACAAAACATCCTCCATTGCTAAGTAAGTTAAATCTACAGCCTATCACGATACTCCTGTTTAAATGGTAAAAATTTGAAAAGAAAAACCGAAACTTGCTTTTTAACTGTTGAATAAGGAAAGGTAATAGAAACGAACCTACTTTTCTGACTGTCTGAAAGGCCATCCGAAAGCATTAGGGGTGATGAAAAACAATAGTAATTGAGTCGGAGAATATCGAAAGTTTCCTAACGTTCAGGGTTATTTTCAACTATGGAAAGATCCTGCAAAGAAACAATCGTCTGTTGCTCGAGAGTTATGAGCCCAAATGCAATGTATTTTACCGTGACGACTGGAACTCTTTATCGGTTTTCCTCTCAGAATATTATAGACATTGTGTACAGTCACATACTATTCTTAAAGTCAGATTAGTCCGCGCGCTTCTTATTTGTTAAATAACTTATAGTTTTTCCAATCCTTTGTATTCTACAGCTAATGAACGTCTTACTTTTACGATGAAGAGCCGTTCGTGGTGTTATGTATATCTTCTAATATTTTTTGGCCCTCTCTTATTAACTACCTTGTAACCGTTTGCGTTAGCATAAGTCGAACAGTGCCAGAGACAGGGTATTTACTGTGTACTTAATCTTACCTGTCTTATCTGTGAACGCGATTTGTGAATAGCTCCGGGATTATTGGGGCAACGATATAGAAGGTTCCATTTCACAACAGCCTGACTTGGGTAGCTGTTGTTCAAAATGTCTGGATACAGCGGGCTGTGAAGCGTTTACCTACTATCCGACAGATAAAACCTGCTGGTCGAAAACAAGTCGTGGCGAAAATGGACATGCTAATGTTTTGACGATATCGGCATATAAGCGTAAGCCACTGTTTGTTCGGTCTTCTCGATGCTGCCCTAGATCAAAACTGCCATCTAGTAAAACTGAGTCAATCACTTCTTATAAAACAACTATGAGCTCGACAGAATTAAGGCAGTAATTTAGAAAGCAGTAGTCACTTATTATTTTTCATTACGCTATTCGCCTTATGAGAAGTTCAACGGAATTATTCTTTCTAAAATTTAAAACTCACGAGGGAACTGCCCCAAGTGTCCGCTCGCTTTTTTGTTGAAATCTAGTGGAGAATAGGTTATCGACTATGCTGATTCCGAATATGACAATGGTTTTTGCTGCTAGGCCTTCGGAGACCTGGTTTTCTAGAAAACCAGTTTTTCAGAAACCCC